CACCCGACTGCCGGCCTGCTCTGGCTGCTTCATGCGCGTACATGTGAGTGTGTGTCCCCACCCGACTGCCGGCCTGCTCTGGCTGCTTCATGCGCGTACATGTGAGTGTGTGTCCCCACCCGACTGCCGGCCTGCTCCGCCTGCGTCGGCTGCTTTATGCGCGTACATGTGAGTGTGTGTCCCCCCCGACTGCCGGCCTGCTCCGCCTGCGTCGGCTGCTTTATGCGCGTACATGTGAGTGTGTTTAAAGATCTGTCTTTCTGCATCTTGAATGCTATTAAGAGAGAGTGAAATCACACAGGGTGGGGGCCAAATGAAGAATATCACGTTACACACCACTTTTAACGTAGAGAGGCCCGGTGTGCCTGCTAGCCAGAGTTGGAAAGTTCAGAAAGTAAAAATCCAGACCAAGATTTTGTTTCAGCCAACCATTTGAGTATAAAGAGTCACAGTCACAGACTATTCAACTGTAGTGCTCTTAGTTTACTTTGGGGCATGCCTTGAGCATCTAGTGGTGCCAGAAAATACAGCAAATGGTTCATGAAGCTTGATTTAGTCATCCCTACTCAACTGCTTGGTTGAAACAAAATCTTGGTCTGGATTTTTACTTTCTGGATCTGAACTTTCCCACTGTGCCGCTAGCTTATCCCATGCTCCCACCACCTGGAGCTCAGTCTCACCTGCGCCGGGGTTTCAGGCAGCTGACCTGGGCTCGAGGGTGTGGCCGCGGGGGCTGTTGTGGGTGTGGCCAGGGGCGTGGCGGTAGGCGTGGTCGTGGGCGCTCCCTGGGGTGCCCCGACTGGCGCATGTGGAGCCGTTTTCTGCTTCGGCTGCGCGCCACCCCCGACGGCTGCCCCCGCCTGCGACGCACCCGCCTGACCTGCTCCTGCCGTCTCACTCTCCGCACCACCCTCTTCTGCCCCCTCCTCCTCTTCGTCATCTTCATCCTCATCCTCCTCATCTGCTCAGTTTGCAAAGCACACGAGTAACATGCAATATCAGTAACAAAGAATTTGTTATTACACATGAAATGGGTGTTCAAGAAGAATAGCAACAATACAACCTAGAGAGAAAAATACCAGTCCCCTGATCAAGACATGGACACAAATAATCAAAACTGGTCAATACAACCCCCCCCCCCCCTCAAATAATCACAAAATGGGTGGAGTCCTCAACCCCCCCACCCCCCAATATTTAACCTAAAGTTACTCCCTTGCATCAAGAAACACATAGTTAAATAGTTGATTACGGATAAACAAATGAATTTTTAATTCACTCTCAATGAAGCTGCTTCAATTGCTTGCAAATCCTTCATTTAAAATGAATGTAACCCCTTTGTTTCTGTCCAATTCCCCTTTTGTCCCATTAAATCCCACTCAGTTCTTGTTCATTACTCTCCCTGGTATTAACACCCCAACAGCAAAGGTATTCAATCTGTGGGGGAGAGGGGGGGGGGGGCAAAGGAATTGCAAGGAAGGCTGCAGGTGAGGGAAAAGAACAGAGAACGGTGTGTGTGGGGGTTTCAGGTGGGGGCAGACCTATTTCAAAACTGCAACCTTTACAGGTATTAAGAACAATGTGACCACATTATATGTCTGCAGAGTAATATGATGCTAACACACTAAAATAATTAAAATATGAAAAATAGACAAGCAGCACATACTGAATACCACAAACTTATGACTAGCAAAAAAATAAAAGTTTATGAAGGGAAAATTGCTTAGTAAATGCTTGTATACTTGGAAGAACAATTTCAGCCCTAAGGGTCCCCTGTTAAAAAAAGTTTGTATTCCACTGCCCTCCAGTCGTACCTTTGAGAAAGTCTACGTTACGGATAGCACTGCCCTCCAGTCGTACCTTTGAGAAAGTCTACGTTACGGATAGCACTGCCCTCTCGCTTAAAG